GGGTGAGAACTTGTGGGGGTAGTTAGAGATAAAAGCCGCCTGATATGGCAAATGCGATAAGTTATGGCGCATGCTAGTTGTGGTAAGTGTAACTGTGATGAGTAAGTTGTAGAGTTTTGCCGTTGGCAGATTTCACTTTTTGCAAATCAGCAAGCGCCACCGCTGCCACCGCTGCTACTGCCACCACTGCTACCAAAAACAACCGCAAGACGTGCCGCTTGTTGAGCTGGTGGCGGTGTCGGTGGCGGTGGCGGTGGCGATGTTGGTGGCAACAGCTCAACAACTTGTTGCAGTAGCTTGCGCCGCTGTTGTTGCTATTTGGGTTTTCAGTTGTCGCCAGCACTTAGTGCTGCTGCGGCCACTCTTGTGTTGCCACATGTTGCTCACAGTCCAGCAATCCTAGCACCCAAAATCCCGTGGCCACAATTTGCCAGCTTGTTAGCTACCAGACGCTCAGCTGACGCCTTTAGCACTAAGCAACAAAAGGCAGAAACCAGACGGGACTCCACTCTGTTTTGCAGCTTTACTCATTAACTGGAGAAACCCGATTATATTCTTCAATCTTTGCGATAACGGTTGGTCCACTTGTTAGTTGATTTTCAGCACAAAGTTGCATAGATCGTTCAATAAAGTCTATCGGAAATATGTAAAAAATATCTGAACTGTAGCAACATTTTTTTCATGTATTTGTTACTGCCAACAAAAATAATTAAAAAATATATTTTTTTATTCTTGTGCTGTTCGGACAGATTCACAGATTTTCACATTATAATCTAATCTTTCAATCTTTTTTAAAACATTTCTCGTTGGAATATTTAATGCTCCAAAAAGATGTCTCAAACGTTATGAGTATGCCATGAAGAAGGCTGTGGTTGTTGCAATTGCTATCATTAACTATAGACTTTAAAGAAAGACCAAATTAATGAAATATAACTATCAAATGTAAATTGTTTTTTTTAAGGGTATTGTTCAGCAATGATAACTGGTTTAAGCTCCTCTTAGAGGCCTGATTAAGTTTTGCTATCAGGAAATAAAATATATGACAGGCTTATATTCAAGTTTTATATTTGTCATATTTTATTTGTTGTCATATAAGAACAACTAATTTCATTACAAAAAAATATACATAATTTATTAATTTGCTAAAAAGACAGAAGTGTATGTGAAAACATATCAGATTATTATGTTCTAATGCTAAATAATTAATTTCCTAAGCACACAATATTCATCAAACAAATCAAGGCTACTTTTTAGAGCAGTATAATAAGGCGGATTTTTTAAGGACTTTAGTCACATATTCTGGGTAGAAGTACCATCTATTAACTCATTTGTGCTGGTTAGTGTAAGTTTTGGCATCAAACAGAGCAGCAACGAAACTGAAGACAGTCTTCAAGTCAATTTGGTTTTGGGCACTTGTCGTCTGGCGGACAGGCTATAATTTGGCTTTACCTTGTGTTTATTGGCCCCAGCTTAGCCATTTGCAGCTTCTCTGGCTTTTCTGGCTTCTCTGGCTGCTGCCATCGCTTCGTCTTACACAACAAGTCGTCGAGTCTGAAATCAACAATTAAATTCATTTAGTCAGAGATGTGCGCAGATTTGTTTTACACATGGACACTAAATGGTTGCTAAATGCGCATGTTTGTTGCATAATTTGTTGCAAATTGTTGTGGCTATTGCCTGCATTTAGGTACGAGTATTTATGTATTGATGATTGCAATTGATAAATAAAATATATGGCTGCTGACAAGTCATCAGTCAATGGTGTGTTTCTGCATGATAATACAATAATTTTTACTCGGCTTCCTATAATATTGATTAGCACTGAACACTTAAACAATTAAATATTTACGCATTCGTACAGTGTGTGCCATTCGTTTGTTTGTGGATCGTGGATCTGTGAGTTGCTTTTGTGTTTCTCTGCTCGCAGTGGATCAACTTTCTCCCATTGTTAGCATCTTTCTTTTCATTAAGTCTTTTTGGCGCTGCGCCAGTTTCTTTGGCCGTGCTGCCTGTCGATTTTGTTGGCTTTGTTTTGCAAATTTCCAGACTGGTGCATGAGAGTGTGTGTGTGTGTGTGAGTGTGTGTGTGTTAATGTGTGCGTTAGTTGTGTGTTTTATAAACTCGTACATATCTGTGTGATCTCTGCTATTGGTTTGACATTTGTTTTGTGCATCTTTGCCTTTGTTGTGGCCATATACTATACTATAGTATATCTGATGTGTTAATTCCATCGCAAAAGCCCGGGCTACTGAGCACAAATGGCATTACGTGTAGGTCAGCTAAATATGGTAATATTGTGACTTTTTCCTCACATTTTCTATGAACTAAGGTGAATAAATGGTGCGTATGGAGTGCCTAAATGTGTCTGTGTGTGCGTGTGTGTGTCACTTTGTTGTTAAATAATAGTTTGTTTGTCCATTTATACTATTTTTTACTGTCTGTTTGTTCGAGTGGGTTTCTTTTTTGCTTGGACACATTTTATTCAATCGATTAAATAATAAAAAGTTCAAAATTTGCATAACATAGAGCAAAGGTTACACGGCATGTGATGCAAGCCCGTCCCATAAACCTGAGAATCATCTTCGCATTAGAGGTCTTTCTCATCGGACTGCTTCAATATTTAGGCAGTTGTTTGCTTCTTATGTTCAAAAAATACATATATTAGTTGCTTGTTAGATGGAAAATTAACGAAATTAGGAAAGTTTTGATTTTCTCGCGATTTTGTTTGAGTTCAATGAAATATTGATATTATTTAAGCTTTTCTGCTATGAGGCAATTTAAGCCTGAAAAGAATTCAAATTAAAGTAATTAGTTAGACCATAGATGTTTTAATATCAAGCTCCAAAACCTTGCCTTCCATATTGTTGAGGAAAGTTTTGAAATATTTACATCCACTTCCAATTATGTGCTATAGGCAAGAGGAAATATTGCAAAAATACAATAAAGTGTAAAGAGACCCTACTTGGCATAATTAGTTAATTGTTGTTGCAGACAAGACAATGGAAAGGTCATTAGCCAAAAAGTGAGTGTATCACACGTGTCAGTTTCGAGTAACGCGTTAATAACCCGCAAAACGTCATAATATTTAATAGCACTGTAACTGTCACAAAAGCATAACTTAAAGCAATAAAAGCAATAGTCCAGCTGCAGACTCTGGAGACTGTGGCGTCGGTGGTTGCGAGCCACATTTAATTATTGCAATTAAATTATGGCCAGTGAAGACGTTGCGAGCCATTAAGACGTCAAAATGTGTGTCAAAAGTGCGCTGCAGCGATGAAAACACAAAACAATACAAAAGGAGCTCGCACACAAGCAGCCACAATGCCTGGGCCGATCTGCTGTCCAAGCTATAACCCGCAGCTTCCGTTTTGACGCTGCTTCCAAGACAAGGGGCATGTTAGCTTAGCTGTCGACTAGAGATGAGAAATAATCTATATACACGACTGTTACTTAATCACTAGTATTGGACGGACAGAAACACAATTTGTGGAGAGAAATCAAGAGCTCAGTAAGTACTTATCCGAGCGAATTAGTTGTACAATCTTCCACTACTGTAAAATGGTGAATTATTTGCAACTTTTGAAAACTTATCACGATTATACTTTTGGTTCCTTCCCCATTTGAACACTCGATTAAAGTTGAAAAATATTTGTAAAAATATATAGAATTTAATTTTGAACCGCTTTTGTTGTGGAACAATGCTCCAGGTTTTGCCAAAAATATAAGCTATCCGAATATCAAAATGCAATTTCTTCCACCTAATACAATGTCATTTCTGTAGCCAAAAGATCAGGGCTTAATTCGCACTTTCAAGACCTACTTTCTGAGGATCTTGTATATAAATAAAACTTAATTCATCAAAGTAATCAGTGCTTGGGAGAAATTTTCTATTAGAGATTGCATCGAATTGTTTGTTCTGTCTTTGAAAAAGTTAAGAGCTTGGAAGAGCCGCTTTAAAAACATAGAAATAAAATTGGCACAATGGAAATTCCATGAAATCGTATTAAAAATTGCTCATTTAAGCCGAATGACTTCAAGACGTGACTAAGTTTCGATGATGTACAATAGTTGTTGCAAGACAAACATTATGGATGATGAATTGTTACCTGAAATTGCTGTGAATGAAGAAAGCAATACAAAATAGGATAACAGAACTTCTGAAGAAACAGAACCTATAAGTGGTTTAATCATATAAAAACTTCAAAAAGAGCATAGGCTATCAGCTTGGAATGGAAATACCATTCAATCAATATAAGGTAACAATATTGATTGACGTGCTACAAGGCAGTTTTACAAGGACTAATTATAAAAATTTTATCCACCTTTGTTGAAATCTAGGAACGAAACCCCATATTTCGTACGGATTTCATGTCTCGTTTAATACGATTTCGCTTAAGACGAGGATTTCTAGGAACCCTAGAGGGCTACGCTTCAAAATTCAATTCTTCAATTCAATTCTTCAATTCAAAAATTTTTTTTCATGCAGTTAAATGCAATGATTCTTAAAATAAATGCTATATGCCTAAAAATTCAATTAAAGCTGGACAAGAGATACTGTTAATAACATGTTTTATTGGTTAGAAATATTTATAAGCCCGTACAAGTTCTACATAGCTACAAAATTTATTGTTTCAATGCTCAGCTCTATTGCCGAGCAGATTGCTCATACGCCACCGCGCTTTGTTTGTCTTTGGGATTTGATTTTCACTTTCTATGAGCTGGCCGACTTACTGGTGACTGATCAGTCTCTTGAGATGTGTTACAAATATTTTTTTAAGTCAAATATCTGCGCCTACATGAAGTCGCAGCTTTGTTGTAAACATTTTGTTGTACGAGTGTGCGAAGCGTAGAAGACACAAAGCCTAGAGATGCGGGCAGACGAGTTGACGAATGTCAACACTGACGTTTTCAATTGATGAACGTCTACACACACAACATGTCTGGCATTTGCAATGGAAAGTATAGCGAATTAAACTTTATTGCTAGTCGAACCCATGAAATGGCTCACTCGCAACGGGCGTTCCGCCCTGAAGAGTGCCCCAAGGCAAGATGGCAAGCGATTAAGGCATTGGTGATTGTACACTCCCAGAAAAATGTTGAAATGCTTTAATGGAAATTATAAAATTTATTATGAAATTTATTACTTCAAGCAGGATCTCGTTTGCTGCTAATAGGTAAAAATGAATATTACAAGGAATACTTAAATTCACAATAAAAGCAGTTTATTTTAAATGTGGCAAACGAATATTGAGTACACATTATATAAACCACATTTAACCAATAAATACTATATAGGAAATCAAATTGTAATTGAGTCCATTTCAAACTGATTTTGTGATTGCATTAAATTGTTGATGCTCTTAAAAATAAAATGAAAACTAAGTTTTTCCTTCTGATTTTTGAAACAAATATTTCAATGCAATTTTAATTTGTTTTACAAATTCTTAAGTGACACATTAAAAACTATTTTAAAAATAGCTTAAGCATAAAACAACAATGAACAAAAATAATATAAAATTAAAATAAAAATGAGCTGGTGAGAAAAGCTTTATAAATCAGGTCGGCGAGTTATTTCACAAGAAATACTATATTCCTGTGCGATAAAAGACTATGCCGTAGATGACCGTTTAAAAATAAACGTTTAGTTAAAATTGTGATTATTTATTACTTGCAAATATTTCAGTGTCTTGTTTATTGTTTAGATTATTTAATGGACACAGATTATGAATTGAGGATGAAGACAGCACACACTATTTGGAAAAACTGAAAAAAATGTGCAGTTAGAAATAAACAATTCTAGGTATATACTTTTTCGAAGTTACACTTCTACCCTTTTCTATACAAATAGCTAAAAACTGTGTAGTTCGACTTACAAATTTTTTTCTAATGTGTAGCTATATCTTATGGCTGATGGGGTCCAAGTTCAGGAACTTTGACGTATGAAAAAGCAAATCCATTACCAGTTGGCAATTTTGATTATTTCTTGGTGTGGGCGGTCTTTGCTTTTGTTATTATTGTTATGACTGTTGTGGTTGAGGGTACGTGAATATATTTCTGCTCCATTATAGGCATTGTAACTGTGCATGCTTGTGAGTGTGTGTGTGTGTGTGTGTTGGGTCAAGTGTATGTGTTTATTTGCCTTAAATGCAAATTGTGTTCGACTGCCATTGCGCCGTACTCGTATTGATATTCAAAGCGCGCTCTTGACTCGAAGACAGACACAACTTTCACGCTGGGCCTTGCCGCAAATAGCGGCCTACTTGGCTAAATTGGCTGAGCTGGCTCAGCTGGCTGAATTGGTTGAATTGGCTGAGTCAGGGCATGACATAGATAAGCTGATACAGTGACCGGCGCTTATTAGCTGGGTAATTACCAGGGCCTAGTCAAGATTACGTCGCCCACGAGAGAGTTGGTAGCAATTTATTGCTGACCACATAACCCGATACGCAACACGTAACAGCTCATTTAAGTTAGTAGTTCAATTTGCTGGCCAGTCACTAATTGATGATGAGGTTGGCAGCAGCTCTCTAGCTGCTCACTGCCTTGCCGGCAACCTATGAAGTTCGGTTAAAAATGTTGTGGTCAAAACTCAAATTATCTTGACATTGACCCAATGAAGACACACTATTTGCGAAGATGTATTTTATTTTTGCCAAACACTCATGATGTTTGCTTTTATCGCATTTTTAGTGCGCCTTTTTTGGCATTCACCATCTATTTAATTTTTTTTCTTGTGATCTCCAACTGCGCGTCATCGCTTCTTTGTGGTAAAAGTGTTTTTGGATGAGGCCGACCTTGTGGCTTCGATGCGAACAAATTTGCAAGGAAAAGCCGTACAAAAATTCAATTTAAGCGCATTAAAATTTATAAAAACACCACCAACAACAACAACAACAACCAGCACAAATTAACTTTTCGTGCACGTACCTTTGATTAATTTTTTGTATATTAAAACGAATAAAATTGGCGGCTAAAAACAAAACGCAATTTGGCCAGCTAGCAAAATGATGACAATTACATGCAACTTTCCTATCTGCCACCTTTCCAGCTCACCCTGACGTTGGCCGTCGCTGTTGTCCACAGCTCGGACGCACCTTCCACAACGAACCCAACCAAGAGCACGAATGCGACAAAGACAAGTGACGCAAGCAAGGCAACAACAGAGAAGCCCACACAGCCGGCTGCCACACGCCAGTCCAAGGCGTTGAAGCCCACGGCCGGGGAGAATCGTGGCAAACGCACCCTCTACGATTTCGGCAATGCAGGCTATCTGTATCGCGATGTGGCCAACAGGCGTGCCGGGTATGTGGATAGCGGCAGCTCCTACTACCCACAAGCAGGCTTCTACAACGGACAAAATGCGATTGGTAAGCCACAAGAAAGTCCATTGAAGGACATTTAATCTTTTACCCCCCTGCTTGCAGCTCAATATCCAGGCGCATTTACTGGCGGCTATGCGCCCTATCCGCAATACTTGGAGGCGCCCGAGCCCATCATTGAGATCATTATCAAGGATGCCAACGAGACGTTGAGCGAAGAGCCGGTACAGCCGATTTTGAGCAAGAAGAAGAAGAAAAAGGAGAAGGTGCATGTGTTCTATGTGAACTACAAGAAGGATCAGAACAACAAGTTGCATCTGGAGACGCCCATTGCCTCTCTGAACAATGACGACAACGAGGAGGAAGAGGAGGAGGAGGAGGAACAGATTGTTCAATACCCCGTAACGCCCCTGCCCCCGGTAAAGACGACAACGCTACGCACGATCATACACCCAGACTCGGAGAAATATCACAGCAACAGTGGCATTCATGTTTCCTTCGGCGCCGAGGATCTACGCCAGTCCGGTCACATATTGGAGGAGCACGACGCCGAGAGCATACAGCGTCAAGTGGTCGCTCTTCCCGCAGGCCCTGGCGTGAAGACTGAGGGCTATGTGGCCAACACGCGAGCTGATTACGGGCGCGACAACAGCTTCGGTCGCGCTCCAGTCTCCAACTTCCTCTTTGGCGGGGCCAGTAGCAACAGTTACCACCAAGCCCCACCCGCACTGCACTTCCACAGTCAGCAGCAACCGCCCGTACAGCACAGCACCAACTACTTCAGGCCACCAGCGGCCTTGATAGGTGCACCAACCACTTCGTCGCAACAGCTGCCGAAGCCCACTCAGCAGCAACATTTCTACAAGCCGCAGCAGCAGCAGCAGCAGCCACATCAACAGCAGCAACAGCACCAGCATGCGGTCGAGCGTCCAAACTTTACACATCAGCAACTGCCCGCCACCTCCTCCCAGATCGTTTTCAATAAGCTGCTGCAGCAGTCACAATATTACGTCAATCATAATCAGCAATATCATCAGCCACACTCACAGCAGCCGCAACAGCAGCAGCAGCATCATCACCAGTACTTTAAAACGCCGGCCAGTACTCCCAGCAAACAGGTGCCATTTTTCCCGACCATACCGCCAAAAACCCACGAGTTGCCATCGCGTCAGTCGCCAGCGTCCTACCAGCCCGTCAAGTTCCGACCCACGCCGGCAGCGGCTGCTCAAATCAAGCCAGTGCCAGTCCCAGTAAAATTGGAAAATGTCAACTACCAACAGCAACAATCGCAGTATCAGCAGCAACAACCAAAGCCACTGCCTTCCTATCAGTTTACGCGACAGCCTCAGTTTGTGCAGCAACCGCACTTCACAGTGCGAGCGCCCACTCCTCCACCAGACTATTATCAACTTCAGCAACAACAACAGCAGCAGCAACAACAACAACAGCAGCAACAACAGCAGCAGCATCAGCTGCAGCAACAACAGCACCAGCAACACCAGCAGCAGCAGCAGCAGAAACAACAGCAACAACAACAGCAGCAGCATCAGCTGCAGCAACAACAGCACCAGCAACACCAGCAACACCAGCAGCAGCAGCAGCCGAAACAACAGCAGACAAAGGTCGGAGCCTTAGAAGCGCACACGGGGCTAAGTGGACTACAAAATTACTTCGACATTGCGCCCTCGAAGGAGACGGAGCTGCTCAAGTCCATACCCAAGTTTGAGCAGCACATAACCGAAACAATTCAAAACCCGATTGTGCCCTCCCCACAGCAGCAGTCGCCTTTCGGCTACAGCAGCACACGCAACGAGGTGATACACGATATACCCGCACCCAATCTGGCACCCACATCGTTAACGCAACAGTTAACGGGTCATTACATAACCGCCAGTTCGACAAACGCCCAGCAGCAGCAGCAGCAGCAGCAGCAGCGACTACCGCAATCGAGCCAAGTCGCTTTAGCACCACCACCAGTCTATGCGGAATCCACGCACGGCCAGAAGGTGATGGTTGTGACGCCAGTTCCTCCACAAAGCGGTCCCAGCTATGCCACATACAATCAATACCAGCAATTGCATGCTTCAACCGGTTCTCTGCAGGCTCAGGCCAGCACTAACTTTGTGCAGCAGCCTAGACAAACGTCCACTGTCCAAATCAGCGCTGCACCGGCGACAGATAACTCCCCCTTCAGTGTCTCCACCTACCACTCGGATGTGTTTAAGGAGCTGGAACAGCGTCAAAAGGAGCAACGGCAACAACAGGCTCAGCAACCGGGTCAGGTCTCGCCCACAGTAGCTACCAAAACAGTGGCAGCACCAACAACTGGTGCCGCACCGAGCGGCAAAGCCTCCCAAACCCTGCTTCAGCTGCCCGACGAAGTTCCCGATGATTTGCGTCAGCAACTCTTCTCCTCGGGTATTCTGAACAACGCGGACATCTCGGTGCTCGACTACGACAAGGTGGGAGACATAGCGCTCGAGAATCTGCCCGCGGAGCATCTGCAACACTTCTACGGAGCCGGTGGCGGAGCTCAAATCGCCGAGACCAACAAAGTGCTGACGGTGGTGAAGCCAAATGGAGACAAGGTGGCGCTCAGCGAGAAAGACATCGAAAAGGTCAAGCAGAGCAACTCGTTACCCCAAAAGCAGAATCTTGATGTAAAGGTAGTGCGCTTCGATGCCCAGCAGGGACCAAGCGTTAGCGAGAAGTACGTACGGACAGATGCGACTGTCGTCACGCCAGTGGACTTGGCCGATCGCCAGTACAATCGTTACTTGCCGCTTAAAATCAACGGCGCTCAATTCCCCATACCGGAGAGCCAAGAGTTGGTGGGCAAGAAAATTGTGAGTGTGGTTGTTTTGGCACCAGTCGAGGCGCAGGCGCCTTCAACATCGGGGTCGGCTGAAGCACGCAGTGTGGACACAAAGGAGGTCAAGTTTCTGGGCGGTGATCTTATTAAAACGCTGGTCAAGAAGCCAACCAAGGACAACTTCAAGCGATGGCTAGAGAAGGAATCTCGCACAGACATTGAGCTGCAGTCGGTGGTGCTGTTGGTGGTCAAGTAAGTAGATATTTTGTCATTAAGTCAAGCAATTGTTTATTCCCTCCCTCTCTCTTTCGCCCCTTCGAAGGTCCAGCGAGGAGGCCGAACAGGAAATCTTCATGTACGATATTGCCACCGGAAACATCAACAAGCTTAATGGAGAACTCTCCAGCACATTTGTGAATGTCGCCGAGGAGAATGCCAGCAGCGAGGATTTGGAACATGCCGCCACACTGGACCACACCTCGCTGGAGTCCATGATGCATCGTCGACGTCGTAGGTGAACGAGAAGCTACACTTCATCCACATGCCATTTGTTAAACTAAATAGAAATGCCTGAGGATCACCACAAGTGCCTACGATATCCCTATTACTGTCCCCCCCCATCCTCCCCCTCTCTCCGCACTGGGCGCACATTTCCAAAAGTTTCATCGATCGTAGCAATCACAATAGGTGTATGCATATTCCTTATCCGTAGTATTTCCGTTTTGTAAATATTCTATGTTGATGTATCCTAATTTAAGTTAATATGTAAATTAAAAGTAAATAATAAATAATTTACAAGAATCTCGAAAGTTCAGCTGTATACGAAGGTGACGAATGAAACAAGAAGGCGGAACTACTACATTTCATAGAAGTAATCGAGTTATAGAGATGGAATATCAACTCTAAATAAAACTCTAAAAAAATATCCCGAATACTGCAAATATTTTCTTTTGGCTTACTTTTTACTTTCTGAGTATCAGTTTAGGGTGTTAGTTTGTAACACTCAGGTGGGAGAATGGAAATAAATATAAATCATGTGGCTGCCATACAAACGATATGATTTATAAACAAATTTGGTGTGAAACACATTTTGCTTATTATTGAAGCCAACCTGAATATGGAAAGGTTATTATACCTGTTGGTGTCGCACCAATCGTGGACTGCGAAAGTTCGCCAAGAACGTTCAAATGTGAAAAAGGTAAACAAAATGATTTCTAATAAAAACTAACTTACCCATGAAGAAATTAAGTTGTGCTTGTGAAGGATATTTTGTATAGCTTTGGCTTGTTTGGTTTTCTTAAAAGTACGCAAATATTTTCTAAAGACTCAATTTTATGTTCTTTAAATTCAATAGTTTCATCTTAAAGCTACAACACACTAGTTTATTGTAAACTCGAATGTATGTATATTTTAAACTTAAACTTAAACAAGTTATAAAGGGAGCTGATATTTACTTAACGGTCATTTGAAAGAGTTTTTGCGAACAACCAATTAGTTTTTGAAACAATTACAGCTTAGATATCGGTTCTACAAGTTTGTCACTGTACAAGGTATACCAAACGGGTAAAATGGTAATAGCTTAGTGTGAATGTCTGGATCATACAGATGGCTCGTCTGTGTCCCTCTCTCTCTTACTCTGGGAGACCCCATAAGGTATATAGATTCTTTATTACTATGTAGAGATGTGTCGATATCGAAAAAGGTAGTTCAGGAATAAACAACCTTGGAATCCAGGTAGCTCTGTGCTTTATGATGCCCGCTTTGAGTGAATTTCCATACTGATTATTGATATTTAATCAATTTAAAAAATTGTAAATTATTTTTCCCCATCTCTGCAACTAAAAAAGCTTCAAAAAAGATTAGCATTCGTTTTCTTGAACGCCACTTCCGTCTCACCAAACTTAACAGCTCATGTTAGCAGCCACTTAACAGAACTCTGTTAAACCAAGCTTAAGCTTAAAATTGATAAAAAAAAATGGTTGTTGTATGTGCTAAACAAAGCTTTACATTTCCTATGTTTAGTACCGCGACACTTTATGCTTTTATGCTTTTTTATATGCGTAAGTGCGTAGATTCCTATGTAAGCATGTTTATACATACATATGTACATATGTATATTGTACTAGGTACATTGTACTTTTACAACTTCTACCAATGGATTGACTGAAATAGAGCTTTGCCTTTGAGCTGCCAAACAATAGTGTTTATGTATAACAAACATATCACGCTTCTAGGGGCCTCAGCAAGCAATAATAGCGGCAATTTGGGCCAAGGTTAGCCAGCTAGAAGCAATCAAAAGGGGGCAGCAGTTAGAAGTAAACAATACAAGACCAGATTTTGATCAGCAACGAACAGAATGGGTTTGGTGTGTGGGCCTAATCATACGTGATTTATCAGCAGTGGTCCATGGAGTTGGACGACGTGACCAGCACAGGTAAGAGTGAGCCAAAGAGTAAGACCAACAATTCACACTCTCTTCATAAGCTGGCTAAGTGCCTCGAGTGCCTCGCATCTTATTTTTTTCGGGAGCTGCGACGCATGGTAAATAGAGAGAAGGTATGGCATTAGGGCTGCAATATTGATGCTCTTATTGAGCAGCTACGTCATTAGTCACGTACTAGTGGGTGGGCGCGCAAAACCTTTGGCATGCTTGTACTAGCTAGTAATTGACGACTAATTTTCAATACAGCTTTAAATTTTCACAACTGTACACTTAACCTACACCAAATAGCAGCCTTATTGAAACTAACTAACTAATGTCACACGAAGAGAAAGCGATTAAAGGACCTGCGGAATGCCGAACCTTTTGGCTTATTTGTACCATGAGTTCAACAAGTTGTTGCAATGGATGGCAAGAGCCACAGCCACTACAACAGTAGTTGCTATAATTACATACAGTTTATTTTTAGCGCACAAGCTGCAAGCGAGCGACTACTAAAAATTGCATGTGCCAACAACAACAATAACAGCTGCAACAACAGTAGCAACGGCTGGTGTTTGGCTAAACGACAAAATAACAAAAGCAGCCAGAAAAGGGGAGGCACTTATGTAGCTAAAATGAAATGAGCCAACGCCTTTGTTGTTGTAATCTGTTGTTTGTGCCGGCTCTTATTTGGTGATAGCCACAACAACATCTGTGCAAGCCATGGATGCTGGAAAGTATATGGAGTAGAGATGGGAATGGATCCTGTTTTTGGTCGTGGCCCATAAAAAACATAAATTTATTCGATAAGACAATTTCGTGCGCATATCTTTTAGAAATTTTAATGCATTTGTGGACATGCATGTATTTTATTGTTTAATGTGTTTTCGTTATAAATAAACAATTTCATGGATGGGTGTATCAATAGTTCCTCAGATTTATCTATTTTCTAAATCTAAATTAATGTTATTTAAGATGAAGTATTATTACTCATTATTTGCTTCTTTTTTTTCCTGTAAGTCATGCGTCACCTGTACTCCAAATAGATATCTACATACATATGTCTTTACATTTTTTTTGGCTATATTACTTATTGTCATAAAAATGCCTTAATAATTTAATGGATTTTGACTCTTTTAGGGCTACAGATAGCCATATTGATAAAAAAAAACCTCTCGCGAAAATAAGATTGCAGTTCACAAAACTTTTGATATACATTTTGGTCGACAAATAAGAAACACTGCTACTCGTAGGGTCTGTGATATCGATTAATGAATTAAGCCTGTTAAGTTCTATTACTGCGAATGAGAAAATATATGTTGACAATGTTCACAATGTTGTAGGTATAAATAACTTGTTGTCAATAATTAATTCATATTTGTTATTCAACATTCAATTTTCTATTTAACTGACATGCATTATTTATATGTTCTTAAGTATCAATAAACTAGGTTAGTAAATGTGTTCATATGTATGATAATTCTAAAGTAGCTATAGCTATTTACTATTTATTTATATCATTTATTTAATTTAATTTAATATGTATTACGAAATGACAGAAATACGCTCTGTGCTATTTTTCACTCATTGAGTTATAGTAGCTACATAGGTAGCTAGGGTTTTTCAAATGAAATCAAATAAAACCAATCCACAAATTATTTTCATTAACTGCTTATAACATTTGAACGAATTGTCCGATTTTGACGTTACACTATATGTGCTATATATCGTTGGATGACGCATAAAATTAATAAACTAAATAAATTGACGTTGCAGTATCATTCCCAGAAAAGAAATGTGTAAATAAATCCGGGTTTGGTCATTTTATTTAAAATCTGGAGCTACATTTTGTGGAACTGATTAACTTTCATAGTGAAAAACAAATACATATAATAAATGTGTGTACATAATAAGTAATAACAAAAGTAATTTAACATTTGTTTTACTGATTCGTGTTTTTGAAAGCTCTCAATTTTAAGTGTATTTGGAGGACCGTCGTCTTGAGCTTGCGTTAGTTTTTAGTTGTTGCTAAGTGCTTTTCAGACGATCGGGTTTTATGTTTCACATATGTATGTACATACATATGTACTTATGTATGTATATACTTCGTGCATAACTGTTTTTATATATATGTAGTCATCTATTCATCTATGTACATATACATATGCATGTTTTGTTTACATACCTTTTATTTTTAGCACAATGCTGGCATATGTTGTTTGAACTCGTCTCGATTCTCCTTACGGTTTTGCATCGTTGCTTTTTTCGCTACCATACGTTTTTTTCTTATTGCCATCCCATGCAAGTCTCGTTTGCAGCGACTCGTTTTAAAATTGGGTTACAGACCCAAAACACATAAATACACAAACACACACAAACACACAGAAACGCACCTACATACTATACATGCACACGTGTGTAGTATAAGAAAAGAAATATGCAAAATCCATTTGATGCCGTAAGCCTCTGAGTCAGAATTGCAATGAGCCGAGCAGGGCTTTATTTTTGTTTCTGTTCAAGATTTCTCCGCTTTTTTATTTTTTTTTGTATTTTTTGTTGTTGTTTTTGTTGCTGTGGCTGTTGCTGTTTTTGATTAAGCCTTGCGCACTTTGTCAAATGATTTGTAACATGATGGCTTTTATGTTTACTTGTTTTTGTTGTTGTTTTGCAAAGCACCAGGGAGTTGTTGTGGTTTCTTGAAATTTACGCTTTCCAATAAATACACAATATTTAAGAGAATTTAAGAGCATTTAAGAGAGCGTCTGCAGCCAACAAAGTTGGCAACATGATTCCACGCGATCGAGATCGAAGCTCAGACCAAAACATGTTGCCAATTCAGCTATTTTCCCGCCAGTTTGCTGGTCAAACGTCGATAGTGGGAAAAAATTTTAAATGATTGGAAACTGGTTGTTTTACAAAAAAGGCCATAATATAAAAATCGCATAATTTGTTTGGTATAATTACAATGTTTTTCATCTACCTTTTATTTTATAATTTTTGTAACCCGGATAGGGAAGTAGATGGAGCCCTAACTGAAACTCAGATATCGAGATATTTATTTCTTATTTTTTACTAGTATAATTCAGAGCTGTTACAATTTTACTTTTTAAAAGTGAAAGTTTCTACCTTTTTTTAAATTAAATTTGAATCAGAATCCGAATGATGATAAGTGTGTAACTAACTGAGGTATACATGGAATTAAAAAGATTTGCTTGTATTCGATTACATTTGCTCTTTGTTTACTCTGAAGAGTTAAAACTGTGTTGAATTTTTTTTATAAGTGAAATAGTTTTGGAGATGTATGTATATATGGACATTTATAATTCTTTAATATTGCAAAAATATATAATATTAATTTTCAGGACTAAGGTATATATAATAAATATAATTTCATTCATACAAAGGAAAAATGTTTGAAACCGAAAAAGTTGATTTTTATTTTTATTTATCGAAACCGGAAACGGGAGCAGGCCTGCTTATTTATTTTGCTATTTCTAGCCTATTGCTGTGACTGATCTAGCCTTTTTGTGCTCGTAAGTTGCCAACACTGGCATGGTAAACGAAACTGAGGCTCCGAGATCGAAATCGAAACGGTCACTGAGATCGGGACCGAGGCGTTGTCGTTGCCGAGAGAATCAAGCGGCGCTCAGTTCGGTTTGATCACTCGTCGCAACAAGTCGGACCGATCAGGGCGTAAGCGCAAACGTGATTTTTGGCTGAAAGCTTCGCGCAGAGCTTGGCTCAGTGTCTGTCGGAAGGGCGCGCGAGTGCAAGCACCATTTGAAGCTTAAATGCGGCTTAATTCGTGTTCGTCTTTGTCGTAAATGCTGTGCAATTTGAACTGTGGAGATTTGTGCGTGCCTCTGCATACATACATAGTATACACATACGCATACATATATCGAATTAAATGTGCAAGTTACAAGTCTACGTGCATGTGTGTTAGTGTCGAGTCGTTTCGGAAATAAGAGCAGCTAACTGTAAATAAGCAGCTCCTGCATTATTATGCAATTTTAATTCAAAAGAGCCGATTGTTGTTTTTGTTGTAACACAATACGCGAGCCAAATAAGAGCTAAGCCGCCACAAACTCAAGCTCTAAACAATCAGCGGCTCTAAAAGCCATTTTAAATACAAAGTAACTGAATAACTGAAACATAAGTACCGTCGTCGAACCAAATATGGCGGCTGCTGCCCACATTTGCGTCAGCTGCAGCAGCGCCCGACGGCGCCACAGTCAACGTAACACAGTCGCCGGCAGCGGCCGAGGCAGTGCCAGTGGCAGAGATGGCGGTGCTGGCGGTGGTAATGCGACTTTGTCAATTTATAGCGCCTGGGCGCTCCTCACGCTCTTGGCAGCGAGCACCGCCATGGTACAGAGTGCTGCGGTCTCTTTCGGTTAGTGGACGACTCTCCTTGCATGCATTAATTAAAATTTAATTATAATTTTGTTGTAATTTGAGGGTTAGTTTTGTCTTCTGTGGGATTTACTGTTTGTTTTTGCAGCCAAAGTGTGATTTTTAAACCCGTTTGGTTGCTGCCTGCTCGCTCAGTCATTCGATTTTACCAGCATTTATATATTGACCGTATTTGACCGCGTGTTGCGCATTTTTATTTTATTTTTTATTTTTTGCTTTTGCTTTTGTTTTCAATTTAAATTTTTCTCGTTTCGCCATTTGGTCATTAGATTTGTCCGCGTTGTTGTTGTTGTTCTGCAATAGTTCTAGCTATTTCTGGGAAAGCTGATTCACTCAATAGCGCAGATAATGAAGAGAGTAGGGAGAGTAGTTCATATTTCCTTTATTTTCTTCGCAAGACTAATTTCACAGATATAGTTTGGTGCAAACATATTATTGGTGGAGGTTTTTTTAGAAATCCTAACTGACTTAAATATAAAACTCCAAATAAGAATTGTTTAAGATGTTTAGAATTAGAAAGGTTTATAAAACTTGATTCGAAACCAGAAATGCATATTAAAAGAGTTTCATCTTTAAGCAGCTAAGGTTTCCGGAATTAATAATGAGCTTAAGAATTAGCATTAAATGTCTTAAATGCAGACTCAACTAAATGGAATGAATGCAACAAAAACAATGTCACTTATTTGATATTTAAAAACTTATTTAAGATTGCTATCAAGTAATACTTTTATCAAAATAATTTAATAAGTTGTAGTAAACGCGTAGAGTTAAGTCGTTACTAACTGTACTAACTGTTGTTACTAACTGTACTCCAAAGCCCACAACCCTTCTCTTTCGTAAAACTCGCCGCTTAATACTAATAATAAGTGCATCCTAGACCCTACGTGTAATTAAACTTCATAAATACAAAGTGGAGTTTTACATGAGAAGAGTAGTCTGTTTTGCTTAAAAATAAATAAATTTGTTTGTTGTCAGAATCAGCTTCTTCTATGGCATCTATTGGCAGCTAGATTACCTCATTTGGATAGCTGCAGATGCCCGTGACTATAATGAGAAACAGATCCGCAATATTATTAATTTGAACAAAGAATTCAAATCATAAATCTGAGCAAAAAAAAAGCTTGCAAGACCATCAATTCATATAATTTTTTCGCACCAAAGAGCTCTGTTTATATTCTAAAACTACCATATGTATATCAGCGTGTGCTTCAGCTCTTACTACATTGTTTTATTTAAATTAATTAAATGAAAACGCAGTAATTTATGCTTCGACAATAATAATTTGCTCAACAAATATTTGTCGCGAAAAAGGTTATAGGCTTGTAGTCGTTTATAGAGCTTAATTGACTTAACCGCTTTGCGTCAACTTATGAAACTCATGGGTGAAATAATTCGCCTAGGTAGTATGCATACAACTGCCATGCGGAAGTTCTCAGTTAAAACAATACGGAGCACAAAGAATAAATATCTCTGTTTTAAAAACTGAGTAACGAAAACAGAAAACTCTGCCGGCAGTTGCCAGACAAGCGACCTCATTGTCATTGAAATACAGTTATGCAGCAAAATAACAAAGAAGACGTAGAAGTCGCTGTGGCAACATCGTGTTAATGTTAACCCATTGCGGGCCACTGAATTTGAGGCGCCGCAGCCACATGCCCCCCAATTGTGCTTCGTTGAACTTTAATTTGGCGCCCCAGTTTTGGCCAAACAGCGCATTTGAAATGAAAACGAAAGAAAGCTGCCAAGTTTATTCTGCGCTTAATTTCGTGAAATTGTGTGAATGAAATATACTTGTACAAGTATGTATGTAAGTATATACATACGTACATATAAAGCTCCACTTTAGGTCGAGCGATCTGCCATCGAGCTCAGCTCAAGTTAATTCACGTGCTCAAAAAAAAAAAAAAAAATTATATGAAAAATTAACCAAAGTAAGAATTCAAAAGCAACACAACAAGCTTAGACGCAACGGCGAATGTGCAAAACAAGAAGAAATTAGCATATTTATATAAACATATTTATTTGCTTCAAAACTGGTTGTTGACTGTTGACTGTTGAGTGTGATTGTGATTGCGGCTGTGTTGAATCGTAAAATGGAAATAAACAATGATCATATAAGATGTGTGATCTCGCATATCTGTAAGTGTATGTTTGTACGTGTATATTTATGCTTATTATATACACAACAACAAAAACAGTATTTTGTTTTTGGAAAACTGTGGTATTTGATGTTTGTCCCTGGCCAAATGCCTGTAACTAGAACTTGGTAACGGCCCGCACAGCCAATCGGTTCTCAAAGTTCAATAAAGTTTAACACGCCCACCAGTTTTCAATTTAAGTTTGTCAGCTCGAGCGCGAATCAAATGCAATTATGAAAACTGTTGCAGAAAAGTTAACCAACGAACAACAATGTCGACCTGGAAGCGGGAGGGCGGAAGAGTGGCGTTCAATTAAAATGCAAATGGCTTGTGTGTGTGCAAGTGTCTGTGTGTGTGTGCTTTCGTTCCAACCAAAAGATGGCGACATTTAGAGCTGGAGATGCCAATGCGGGCTGTGGCTGCACTTGCAGCTATTTGCAGCCCAGGGGCTAGCTATAATGTCTATTTCGGACAAATTAACAGACACATAAAAATGAGCACGCTCGGCCATATACACACACAGCCATACACAAACACAGATACATGCAGTGGCCTATTTTGTCACATTTACTGCTATCTCTCGCTTGGCACACACTAACACACACACACACACACACACACACACACACACACACACACACACACACGCACACACAGAGGCAGACACGGGAAAGCACATGTTTGTATCTGCCACTTTGGCCTGTGGGCGGCATCCTGTGCTGCTTGTCGTCTTTGCTGCAAATTTAGTGGCTACACTGAAAAAAAACCTTTACAAATAAATGATCTACCATTTCACACTTTCTATTTTATAATAACAATGCTGCTGAAGGAATGAATATATAGATTTATGTTAAACAAATTGAGACAAATATTCTATAATTATAAGCTGCTGAATGAATGAATACATAGATATATGTTAAATAAATTGAGACAAATGCTTATAATCCAGCATACTTCATTTAAACAATAATTGACAAAAATAGTAATATTTTCAAATACAAAATTTATAATTGAGGCTTAACCCTTCAAAATAAATGATCTACCATTTCACACTTTCTATTTTATAATAACAATGCTGCTGAAGGAATGAATATATAGATTTATGTTAAACAAATTCAGACAAATGCTAGATTAGGTGCTTCATTTAAACAATAATTTACAAAAATAGTAATATTTTAAAATAAAACATTTATAATTGAGGCTTAACCGAAAATAACCCTTCAAAATAAATGATCTATCTAATGAACATTTATAATTGAGGCTTAATTTAGTGGCTACACCGAAAAAACCCTTCAAAATAAATGATCTACCATCTCACAGTTTTTATTCAATAATTATAAGCTGCTGAATGAATGAATATATAGATTTATGTTAAACAAATTGAGACAAATGCTAGATTAGGTGCTTCATTTAAACAATAATTTACAAAAATAGTAATATTTTAAAATAAAACATTTATAATTGAGGCTCAACCGAAAATAACCCTTCAAAATAAATGATCTATCTAATGAACATTTATAATTGAGGCTTAATTTAGTGGCTACACCGAAAAAACCCTTCAAAATAAATGATCTACCATCTCACAGTTTTTATTCAATAATTATAAGCTGCTGAATGAATGAATATATAGATTTATGTTAAACAAATTGAGACAAATGCTGGATTATATACTTCATTTAAACACCAATAGTAATATTTTTAAATTTATAACTGAAGACATATTTTGTCCAAAGCTTGACATGCAAAGCGTGTTCTTTGAAACTCGGTAGCAATACTCACCATTATTCTAAGCACATGTGTATGTGCTTATGTATTCATATGCCAGTGATTAAACATTTTATATGTTTTCATATCCGGTTAAATATTTTAGGTATAAATAGAAGAATAATGTTAATTTTTGGCACCAAAGATAAGTACTTGTTAATAATTGTATTTCACAGCTTATAGATTTAACTGATAAATAAAAAGAAAACCACAAATTTTTGACTCATTTGTCAATATTGCTGCCTCAAGCCGTTCCAGAATTTAAAAAATATAACAATTATTTTCAGGTACAAATTTGGAGAAAATCTGATATATGTATGTATATAAAATATATGAAATTCGATAGATGGGTTTAAGAAAGCCAATAAATGTTCCAATCACTATAAACAGAAAACTTGCAATTATTTACACAAGATTCAACCATTATCCTGCCTTTGTCCATACTGTAATAGATCAGCAACGGCCAATTATTTAAAAATTAATGCAACTCTCAATCAACTCCTCGCAGAGATGAACTCCTTAATTTTAAAAGCATTTGTTAAACTTGTATCCAAATTAAATATAAACTAGGACTAAAAATTAACATTGCAATAGAGGATTAATTCAAATATTAAATGATATTAATACATATTAAATTCGAATATCAAAAATATTGAGAGCTTGATAGCAGCTTGTTCCATATATTCCTAATCTAAATCAAACATATTTCATATTATTTTACACGTATACTGTATTTTTACTCCTTAAATGCGTAGGACTTTTAGTTTTGCGGATCTCTCATCCTGCTCTAAAACTCTGCGCAGGCAAACAACATTTAATACTACTTTTAATGAAAGAGAGGAGCGCCCTTTTATCTTTTCTTAACTTAGATTAATGCCTATTTATTGCCCTCATTGCTATTAAGAATTGTTGTCAGTATCAATATCAACAGCATTTTAATAGGTACCATCAGGTAGATCTATTAATTAGATTTACTGATTTGTTTTCCAGTGTATAAGCGACGACTTGGGGGCAGCTCTGGCACTTGCTTGCCGGTAAATTTTTACTAATAGCAAAAATTGCGGCGTTGATTTATGTA